TTATTAATAAATCTATTGAATATTCACTGGATTTTATTAATAAATTTATATTCAGTGAATAACGGGTCACATCTCTAGCCTTGACATTGTCGTTATTTTCATGTCAAAATATGAATTTTTCTTATCTGATATGCATATAATTTGGAATTTTCTTTCCAAAGTGTAACTTGTTTGTGAATAAAATTACAATAATTTGAATTTTAAATATATTAAAAATTAATTGAATTGAATTTATTAAATTACCAAAGATATTTCAAATTTGACATGATTAAAATATCAACCAGGGTTTGGAACCGTTTAACCGCATAAAAATTTTTATAGTGCCGGGCCGAATTATGTTCATCACGGGCCAGGATAATTTTAATGCCGACTGAATTAAACGGTTAATACGGTTAAACGAAAATTTTAAACGGTTCCAAACCCTAATATCAACTCAACTTTGTTTCTTCAAATTCGAAAACAAACGAGTTTTTTCAGAAAGATTTAGTTAGTGGGCTGAATTGAATTTCGAGTGCTAGTTTGTTTATAAAAAATTTTTTATATTAATTTTGTAATACTTGCGTGAAGCTAAAGATCAAAAATTAGGCACACGTTCTTGACCGACCCATAATCAGTCATAAAATCTAAAGAAGCAATTAATCCAGCCTATAAACTAGAAATAAAATTTTACCAATTTAGTTTAATCTGATTTCGTCGTCATTAGAAATGATGGCAAGCTTTCTACCTTCGTACCCAAACTTCATTCGTTATTCTAATTAATTTATTTGAAATATCAAATTACTGTAGCACTTGGGGTATAATTTCTAATTTTGGCCTAAATTAAGCCCAATTCGGGCCACTATTCAAAATAAACGCCCAAACCAATAAATAATCACGTGCCTTCTTTATCATTTCAAACCATTCTGATTGGTTGAAAAAATTCTATAAATTTACAATCTTGTTATATTTACCTAACTTAGAGGCATGTTTTTTTACAGCTAATTCCGATCGAGATCAGTCTGAAATGGGTCAGACCGACCTAATAGGGCATTATCCATTTGGGGAAAAAAATGAAAATGCAAGAAGTACTCGATTATCAAATGATCTTTCGAACGCCCCTAGGTTTCACGAGAAATCTTCTCCAGTTTTACTTCTTGAGGAAGAATTGGTGCAAAAAGTATGTACAATTTTAATTATCAAATGATTTTTCGAATGCCTCTAAGTTCCACAATTGTGAATACAAGAAATCTTTCCAATTTTGTTTCTTTGTTGTGATTCTTCGAACGCCCCTAAGTCTCACAATTGAAGCTTGAAAATACAAGAATTCCTTGATTATCAGTATACAATAGTCTAATGATGTTACAAGTCTTTGAAATTTTTTTCTTAAAAAATTTTAGTTGGCATTCCCACACACAAACAATTCTGCATTTATGTTACAAGTCTTTGAATCGTATGATTCTTGTTTGTGATGTAATTTGTGTTTGTAGATTTTTCTTAAAAAAATTAGTTGGCGCATTCCCACAAACAACTTCGTGCGTATGCATAATCTAATGTATGTTACAAGTCTTTGAAAAATTTTTTCTTAAAAAATTTAGTTGGCATTCCCACACACAAACAATTCAGCATTTATGTTACAAGTCTTTGAATCGTATGATTCTTGTTTGCGATGTAATTGGTGTTTGTAGATTTTTTCTTAAAAAAATTAGTTGGCGTGCGCATGCATAATCTAATGTATGTAACAAGTCTTTGAAAAATTTTTTCTTAAAAAGTTTAGTTGGCATTCCCACACACAAACAATTCCGCATTTATGTTACAAGTCATTGAATCGTATGATTTTTGTTTGCGATGTAATTGGTGTTTGTAGATTTTTTCTTAAAAAAATTAGTTGGCACATTCCCACAAACAACTTCGTGCACATGCATAATGTATGTTACAAGTCTTTGAAATTTTTTTCTTAAAAAATTTAGTTGGCATTCCTACATACAAACAATGTTACAAGTCATTGGTGTTTGTAGATTTTTTCTTAAAAAAATTAGTTGGCGCATTCCCACAAACAACTTCGTGCGCATGCATAATCTAATGTATGTTACAAGTCTTTGAAAATTTTTTTCTTAAAAAACTTAGTTGGCATTCCCACACACAAACAATTCTGCATTTATGTTACAAGTCATTGAATCGTATAATTCTTGTTTGCGATGTAATTGGTGTTTGTAGATTTTTTCTTAAAAAAATTAGTTGGCGCATTCCCACAAACAACTTCGTGCGCATGCATAATATATAGTTATTGGATGCGAAGCAGCCAATAACGGAAATTATTGTAAAGTAATTTCATTATCTGGCTGTGAAA